TCAACATACGCCCTACCATTTCATATGGACACTATAAATTATACAAAACTACATCGGGCAAATACAAAAATGTGAACACATTCGGAATCAACGAAGTGTTTATAAAAAGTCATATTCGACCACATTTGGAGAATAAGTCGCAGCGGAAGAGACAGAAGTCCTCCAGTTCCTGAAAGCTATGTTCAGTGAAATCAACAATATCAATTCAGCAGCATCCCCAACTATTGCCACATCTCAAACATAGTATCATTATATATAATATATATATATATATATATATATATATATATATATATATATATATATATATATATATATATATATATATATATATATATATATATATATATATATATATATATATTATAGCCACTAATTTCTGCAAGATGCCACCGAGATCAGTATTACCTCTGGAATTACATACACAAGATAAAAAGCGCAACTGAGCCAACTGAGCAGGCGGAGCACCACCCACGGTGGGGGTGCTGAACATGTTTTATGTTCTGGATCTGCGCGGAATGAATATTCCTGTTCCAGAACAGATCAAACACTCGGGAGCTGATTGAAGAAGCGCAACTTTTTGGTGGATGATATGTGCGAGATTCACCAGCGGTTTATAAAATTCTCCGAATGGCGATGCTTTCCATGACTCGGCACTAACGTTTGGAATGAGAAGCAATCATCAATCATAAACAAATCAAAAGCAAGGAACTTTGCGCTGCGCAAAGAAAGTCTTAAAAGAGTGAAGCCGTCAATAGGGCAGAAACCTGTGACGCAGTCGTTGGTGACCCAATTTGAACTACGTTAGCAAAGCTGCTGCTGTAGGGAGATGGCGGTGCTGAAAGCCGTACGATCGGGAAAACGAGTGTCTTCAAATGTCGCATGTTAGATGTCGCATGCCGTGTGCTAGTATTCCCTACAGTAAGCATTACCTTTGCTCTGCTCGAACAATTTCAAAGCACGGCCAATGAAGAGCTAAGCGTTTTTGGAGATGGTGAAGGTGATTGGAATGAAAAAAAAAGATAAAAACAACTAAAATGACTGGTATTCACTTTAAGTCATCATTAAAAGCGGTTGTGTGGGTTTTCTACAAATTTCGGCCTAGGTATCTGCAATGTCCTCTGAAGGTGCTTAGCAAGTTCTGCCATTGAGAACCGATCGTTGGGGTTTTCCGACCAACATCGTACCTGCAAGAGCAATACATAGACTACACAATTTTAATATACAGGGGTGGCCAAAAAAAGAGACACTTCACTCCACATTCAAAACGGAATTATTTACGCGTTGCGAAACCAAACCAAATGACCCAACTGAATATTGAAGAGCACATTATAATCTATCAAAAGTACACAACAGCCTTCTACACCGACGACATCAGAAGATTTTCCCACGGAAACATGTTCACGGTACGAGCTCAACGAGGTCGTCGAGGTACCATAGACCATTACGACGTCTCTGAAACGCTGGTCAAAAGCGGTTTTGCATAGTCACAGCTAATGTCTCTGGGAAGCTATTCAACAGTTAATCATTGAAGAAATTATGTAGCAGCTTCAGGCCGGAGCGATTACGGTAAGCCTCGTTGAGCTCGACGGTGACGGCAGATGACGTCATATTCTGAAGACGGCGGGGCAGTGAAGGAGGGCCTGCTTCTGTTTACGGGGGAACACCTAAGGAATATTTGCCGTAAAACTTTCATTAACATCGGCTCCCTGTGCGACGAAAAGTTCGATGATGTGCGCCATGGGCTAAGTGTCTCTTTTTTTGGCCACCCCTGTATGCATCGGGCATAGACTATTCGGTCTGCTGCAGTTGAGATCTTTGCTCAACTCAATATTTCTAACAAGGGAATGCTTTGAACTTCCCATGGAACTTGAAAGAAGACCTAGGTACATCGTTAGCCTTGAACGCCGATTACAAATAGTGACTCTAAAACTGCTAGTGAACTTTCCAAGTTCAAATCTCCAAGTTTCAAAGTGAGTCTTTAAAGTTGGCAAGAAACGGGCGCCATTTCATGAGAACAGCTAACCACTGGCGAGCGGTGGTAGCGGCGGCGCAGTGGTAGAGCTCTCGCTCTGCAGGCGGTTGGTCGTGGGTTTGCTCCCGACCGAGACGAAAGTTTTTGCACACTGTTTTTCATATCCAGCAAGGGCTGTTACTCTCGATCTCGATCTTTGACTTCTCTCCATTAGTATTTGGTAACGGCTCCCATTTACGCTTGTCATCTACGCTCCTCGAAGAAGGGGTAACTTATCTATAAAGTATTTATTTTGCGCATAGAGGGAATAATATATCACCTGTATCACCTGTCGTCCCGTTGATCATCGAATTGCTCGAGCGGGCGCCAGCAACGTCTCCATTCGTCCCTGTCGCGTGCAAGAGTTGTCCAGTGGACCCTCCTCGCTCGAGGGACACGATGTCCTTCATTCCTTCGTTAGATAAGAATAAGTATAGAATAAGATATAACTCCAAACAATTACAAATGGAGACCTCATTCAACACTGATGAAGCGACGCAAAAAAATGGAAAAGCAGACGTGTTGTTCGCAAATCGCGCATTTTATTGATGCTGCCTCTACACAACCATTGACAAAACAGTCGACTCACGCGTCAAACATTAGGAATACCCGCTCACATAAGGCGCCTGCCAGAATGAATGGAAGAAAATTGGAAAAACAGCCCTTGCTAGGTACGAAAAACAATGTGTGAAAATTTCCGTTTCGGTCGGGAGCAAACCCACGACCAACCGCCTGCAGAGCGAGAGCTCTACCACTGCGC